GCTTCAGGTCGTCGCCAGGCTTCAGGTCTTCAAGGCTTCAGGTCGTCGCCAAGCTTCAGCTCTTCAAGGCTTCAGGTCGTCACTAGGCTTCAGGTCGTCAGCAGGGTTTCAAGGCTTCATGTCTTCAGAGGGAAGTCGCCCGGGATTGCCAACACACTGGGGACATGTTGGCCGCCAGTTTCTGAAGCAAATCCAAGGTGTGCAGCCACATTGCCAACCTCTTCGAAGGTGTCACCAAGAAGTTCGAAGACTTGGCGGACGTTTTGGAAACCCTTTTCTGATGCCATTCTCGGCGCTACACCGTTTTTAAAAGGGGAAATTGACAGAATGTGCCACCATCAATCTGGAGGGCTAGAAAACATAGGCGATATACAATAGAGTATTTTAAAAAAAACACAACAAGAAACAAGAACACGTGAAGAACATCCGCACTGGAAGAGTCATGGAACATGCCCCTGACAGCAAGACCATTTCTCTCTGCAAACAGCCGTGTTTTTCACTACCATGGTTCCAGGGAGTGCACAGCCTGTGTTTGAGGTGATTTGGCAGTCCAAGGGCTCACTATTGACAGCAGTTTCTTCACTTGCCCTTTCTTCATGGCTTCCTTCCAGCAAGATCTTGATTTCTCCGTATAGAGTGCTTCTCTTCCAGGAGTTCACCAGGAGTCACAAAGGGGTGGTTTTTAGTCCCATCCAGTGAGTGGATAATGGGCACCCCTAACCTCCATGGATCGCACCCCGTCTTGTGCTGGCACTTTTCGGGAGCACAGGGTGGATCTTTCGATATCTTTCGTGACCGGATCATTGTGCAGACCACGAAGTTCGGCCGGACCCCAATTCAACGCTTCGTGTGACCCCTCCGGCGCGTGTGTGATCCGCGCAGCTTCGCTCGTTTTGCGACCTGCAACCAACTCCTTGGGCAAAGGAATACAAGATGCGCTTGGTCTATGCCCACTTCCCCATCAATGTGAACATCATCAACGGTGGGAAGACCATTGAGATCCGGAACTTCTTGGGCGAGAAGGTGGTCAGAACTGTGCCGCGCTCAGCATGGAGGACGCGCGGAAGAGAGAGAATGAGGCATCGCGAGGGTCCAAAGGTGAGTGAAACACTTTACTCTCCCTGGAACTAACATGGAAGTGGAAAACCACCTGTTTGTAGTGGAAAATGGCCATCCAAGGGGCCATTCTCCACTTCCATGTTAGTTCCCTGTATTGGAAAAAAGATCTCATAATGCCACAAGATGCATTTTCGATGTTTGTGTGTGTTTGATGGGTGGTTCTGGCATCGGCGATCCGTGTGAATCTGGGGACGTGTAGCCAAGCTTCTCCAACGACATCTCTCGGCCATTCTTGGTTTGCTGGATCAACCACCATATGTTGGGCGACCAGCCTTCAATTTGATGGCCGTTTCCAATCATCACAGGGTCAAAGGATGTCCCAGAAGAGTCCCACCCCTGTCTCTCATTATGTCCAGCTGGCTTGCTGCATGCATTGTCGAAGTTCAGCAGCTTGCAGCTCGCATCCCGTTTGGAAAGAACCTTCCTCTTTGGTATTCATGTTTATATATTTGTTTGTTGTCCTAAGTGGAGGAACAATATTGTGTAATATTGTATATATATATATTACACATATATGAATATATGTGATTTAGATCGTGTACATATATGTTATTATATATTATGTATATATGTGTGTGTGTAACAGTGTAACAGTGTAACATATACATTCCAGAACAACACACTCCTCCGCACCTTGAATTGGACATGTCGGAGACGTGTGCCGACTCGACTCGTGGCGCGGTCTTGTGTGGCGCCGGGGAGCGCGCCACTCGTCTGAGGTGCACATGTTGCCGGGCACCCTTGTGGAGAAGAGCAGCTCCACCAAGGACGTTGGGAGATGGAGAGGTCCATGATGGAGGGGGTCCATGGCACCATGGCATACGCCCTGGAAGAGGTCTGAACCTGAAAACACTTGAATTGGAGGAACTAGCCTTCCAAAGGTCCATTTTCTGGTTCCATGTTGATCTTCCTAGGTGTATCTACTGGCATATCTCAGGCGGATGAGTAGAACGAATAGCTTGGAGATTTGCTAGCCTCTTCATGTCATATGGGGTGTGTGAGTAATCAAGAGTCCACATGGTGATGATTCCGATCTTGTATTCTTTGTTTGGCATGTTAGAAGACCGGGTGGATAAAAACAACAGGTTGAAAGCTGCTGCTGCTGCTGCCACAGCCAGGGAGTGTTTGCTTTACTTCAGAGAGAGAGAGGGAGATGGAAAGGGAGACAAGTTTGCAGAGAGAGGAACATTTCAACAAAAGACTTCCTCCACAAAAGAGACACACACACACACATGACCTGTTCTTGCGCCGAAAAATCCCCGCCATACTATAGTACTCATTGGTTGCATTTCTTTCTTCCTACCCAGTCAGTGGATCACTCCACTCCAAGAGGTGCTCCGATACACTCTGGAAGAGGTCCACATGGAACCTGAAAACCACTGGTTTGTAGAGGAAAACAGTCTTCCAAATTTTCAGGTTCCATGTTGATTTTCCCGGGTGTATCTCGTACATGCATGCATCGAACCCGTCTATGCTGCGCGGGTTCAGTCGCGCCACAGGATGAGATCCAGGTGACCAGCACGGACATCGAACTGGCGGGCCGTTCTGCGGCGTTGATTCATCAGTTCCTCGATGGACAGAAGACATCGATTGACGAACATGAGGGTATTACATGATATTACATGGTCTTACCGCACTTTTATACATGGTTTGTTTGAGCGTGATTTACATGGTTGGAGGTATACCTGTTTTACTTGGTTTTAGCTTGACTAGGGTGCTTTGTTTGGATGTTTCCCCCTTAGGTTGGTCACCCGGAACTGGACGATTTGACCCACCTTTTTGTCCCCCTTGGCTTCAGCACAGGACAGGTGGCATAGGGTGGCGGGGTGAGCCATTTCTTCTTGGCTTCGGTTTCGGGAGATTGGATTTCCCTGAACTCCATGGGCTTTTTGGGCAACCTCTTAAGACCCGTGAGGTCCTGCCTCATGGAGCAGCAACGTCCAGCAAATCGAACCTGTAGTTTACAGCATCTTATCGCGAAATCATAGGCAAACCAATGCAGGTACCAGGACCCTCCTGTCATAGCCCCTTAGCCGTTACATAAGGGGTGTCCATTCACCACCCCTTTTCAGGCCCCAGTCGTGGGCATGTGTCATGTATTTAGATTCTCCCTTGTCAGCTCCAACATACTGTAACCGTGTGGGCGCCGCGCTGCGCGCTTTCTTGGGTGAACACAGCCTTGGCGTCCGGCATTCGGCCTGCTTGGTGTTGAGACTTCGAAAGGTCTCCTGTTTCTGGCTCTAAGGGGATTGGTTCATCATACAGATGGGGACGCTGGCCTGACTCTGGCCATATGTGGCCTAAACACACCAAAAAAGGTACATATGCCATATGTATCCATAATATGTTTCGGATATTCCCACATTCCGAATTCCACTCAACGATGTGAAGAAGATGCTGAATGACGATGCTGAACGCTAATCTATTTTGACATCATGGAACGGAGACGATGTAGAGGATGTTGATCTTGAACTATACCTACCCAGTCAGTGGATAACCTGCAAAGCCTTTTTGGGGATTGGCTTCCCTACTAAGTCCAGCAGGTGGACAGTTCGGTTCACCGTATTAATTATTATTTTCCATAGTCGGGTCAGAAGTCAATACCAGCACCCCTCCAACATGTGCTTCCTGGTGACAACAGGTGCCCAGAAACCACCTGTTAGGGTCTCCAAGCAGCCTGTTGGAGGGTCCTATACCTAGATCTTCAGTCCGGCACTTTTACAGGGTCCGGCGCCGGACTTCCAACTCCGGCGTTTTTCTGGATTTGGTCCGGCGCTTTTTCCAAATCACTTTATGTGGGTTCTCAAGGCTTTGCATTCTTTGTGGTCTGCATTTCTTTGAAGGTAAACCCACTACTGATGCAATGATATTGTTTGCAAAGTGTGCTCGTTTGCCTGTTCCGCTGTTTTCTCATTCCATCGGTTTCAGCATGGTTCACACTGGATCAATCAGATCCGTTTAGGTGATCTTCTAAATGAAATCGGATGAAGCCGGTACAGTGCGATGCACCTGCTGAAAGACCCAAGTGGGCGTACCTAAGCTGAAAGAGCATAGGCAAAAATGTACTCCCATTGTTTCAGGATGTCGGGGCGCTGGGATATAGTTCTAGTTGCGGAGGTTTGCAGAGCCTGCCGGACAAGTTTTGGGCTGTGGAACATGTGTTGTTCAGAATCTCAATGTTTTGCAAAGAGTTGTCAAAAATAGCACGTCGTAACTCCGGCGTAATTTGCCGTAATTCCGGCGTAATTTCCCGTAACTCCGGCGTAACTCCGACGTATTTTTTTGGACTGAGTCTTCGGCAGGCTTTGACTTTGAAAAGTTTTTCAGAGAAGAGTTTTGACAGGAACCATGACTTCTGCTACTTTATTGGGGGGCCGTCCTGAGGCAAGCTTTAAAGAAAGGATTCATTAAGAAACATAAAAATCATGGAGAGCAACCCACTTTGTAAAAAATACTTTAGAGACACGGTTGCAGAGAAAGATGAGTTCATTGCCACATGTTCACTGGTTTCTTCTTGGAAGTCTTTGCTTGGGCACAAATTGCTTATATTTTGTGATGGTTCTGCTCTTAGGCCATTCGGAAGATGGGCGAGGGCAATGGGAACGGGAAGGTTCGAGTGTGCTCCAGAAAAACTACTCGCGGCGCAAAGGCAATTAATTCCCTTGTGTATGATCCAACCTCTTATCATCTCTGTTTTTCAGAATCTTGGATCCGGATGTTTTTTCAGGTCTCCGGTTTTTTTTTCGGAATCCGGCGGAAAATTTTGCCGGATTGAGGTCCGGCACTTTTTTCCGCCCAAAGGAGGATCCAGGTATAGATCGTGATGCTTTGTCTTGAAGTTGGATTTTGGTGGAGTTGGATTGTCCAGTCTAGTTGTGGACAGGAATCTTGGAGTTGGGCACCCAAGCCAGTGAGGTCCTGCCTTTGCAAGAAGAAGGATATCCGAAAGTTCTTGGACGGTATTTATGCCCCTTGCACTGAGAAGTTGACGCGGATATTTGGGGACTCTCTCCTGGGTTTCGAGCAGAGATGTTTTCTTTTTTGGGGGTGGGCTTCAGGAGATTCCAGGGGCTTCTACAATGCAAGACTTGATTTGTTCAGAAGACAAGTGTTATTTTATGGTGTCCTAACTCGCATGCTGCTTTGACCCTTGACTTGGTGAAACACATGCCCGATGTCAATCGCGGTTTCATGCCCAACGCATGCTTGGCTGCAGACGCATTTGACACAATTAGATCTTTGTTATCCACCCTGGACTCAATCTAAAACCGCAAGTGTTATGTCTATTTTCTCTTTGGTTTGCCCTGCAAGGCCGCTTCTTTTCATTGGTGTGGGTGGTGCAAAAATATTGTCTCCTTTTCAGAGCATTGCTTGATCCGTGGGACCGGGGCATGGGGATCTACATGAGCCACATGGCTATCAGCCGATACGCTCAACCTGTGCTGGTTTGAGCACACTTGGAGTGTCCGGTGGCCAGGTCAGCTCGCATGGTGTCAAGGAGGATTGAGTCCGCAGTGGCGACGCACGAAATTGGCAATGGGGACGAAGAAAAAGGGGCAGCCGTGTGACTAGGCTTTTGGTGTATCAGATGTGCAAGAAAGTCAGGAGAGACTTGATTGAAACGGAAGTAGACAGGTACGGTATTGATGGAGTCGGTCAATATCATTAATAGCCTGGGCCTAAGCCACCACCACCCAACGAACTGCACCAAGGCTGGATGTAACTCACTCCAGAAACCAGGGTTGTTCGGTCTACGGTTTTAATTTTGGAACCGTTGGTTATATACTATTGAATGGGTCCACTAGGTAAGACATCAACGTTTTGTTCACCAGATTCAAGGCACTGAATAGCCCGATGGACCGATCCATCCAATGTATGCCACAGCTGCGGATATGTTAAATAGATCATGTCCTGCGCCAAGTCAAGTCAATCAGCATGTCATGCACCACTCTAAGTCAGCCCAGCTTCCAATGGATCCACAACTCGTTGGAGGATTCTTCTCAAAACGGATGCCCTGAATCAGGCCCTAACGGGTAAACATCCGTGGGATGCCGATCCACACCTCATGAGGTGGTAGGGGTGCACAGACCTTCCTGAGACCTGGCATGTCACATCTAGAGACCTCCGGGACCTGGGGTCCTGGCAAAGCTCGGCCTCGGATGCCAGGTCAGCCGCAGCGCGCCAGCGGCTGAGGGTGCTTTTGGATCTCCCCGAACATCGATGGAGACAACGATCGTTGGTCGGGGGTGGCGCCAGGGGTTGCCGGTCTCGTCTTCGGCGCCGTGGGGGGAAACTCTGAACAGTTCCTGAAAGACCATGGATTTGTTCGATTGCATGTTGAATTGAATGTGCTTTTGGACATCTTGGCGCGCAAGAGCTGCTGCCACTATCCGTTTCACACTTTGGCTCCAGTTGGAAAACTCGGATGCCCAGCAAATTCATTGCAGTCGGTCACCGTTTCTCCAATGGAAAGCGGCTAACTCGTGTGGCGAGAAAAGGAGGTCGCCCTGTTGGTGAGCTCTTGGCCGGTCGCACGTCCTTCGTCGGGCCAAACGGCTTCGTCGGCATGCGGCCCGAGATCTCGACCGTCAGGCGAGTGACAACATGTGACAACGAACTCTTGAAGATACCTGGGCCCCCAGGGCAGGGGTGAGGGGTGTTTATGTACGATGAACTACACTCCGACGAACACATCACGAAGTGGATTTTCCCACTGCTTGTAGAGGACAATAGTCTTCCAAGAGGCCATTTTCCACTTCTAGTGAGTCAGAGTGTATGAATTCTTCACAATGACATCATGTACCTGGGACCCCAGGCCAGGGGTGAGGGGTCTAAAAGTAGCTCCTTAAGAGGTTCTCTGGGGTGGTGACGGTCACCCCCGCAAACAGGGGGCCCTGGTACCGAATCTTTGTTCAGACTCCTTCCTTGCTCGTCAAGTACCCTCCTCTTTGACTCGTTCCACGTCCCGAAGAAACATCCCTCGATCGATTTCATCGGTGCTGTGAAAAGCACTTCCACATGCTCCACTGGGACTGGAATGCCTATATTGACCACTAAAAACTACCCAATGAAGGTAACTATACAAAAAAAAGATATATTCAATGGACCGATAAGTATGCATCGATCAACAAGAAAAGCACTTCATGGGACTGGCATCAAAACACCTGCATCGATGTGTTTGGCACATCTAGATTCTAGTCCCCACCCTAAGCCTCCTGTCGTACCTTCTGAGAAGGTGGGACTGGGGTGGGGACCTGCCAGTCAGGTCCAGTCCGGAACCTGAGGAGGTACGACTGGAGGTGTAGGGCCATGGAGCATCATGGAACTGTTTGGGATCTCAGGTGCGCCGCCTTTGGGTGAAGGAGGGCTCCAAGTTGAGCCCATCCAAGGCTGCGGAGGGCCGTGCGCGACGGCCGAAGACGCGGAGCGTAGGAAGGTATAGGAGGAAGAGACCCAACCGTTTTCTGAGGCCTGAAGCGGTTTTCGAATCCATGTTTGAATCATGTGTTTGGGAAGTTTCATGAATCAAGAGCATACAACTAAGTTAGAACCCCCCCCACACATCCACCAAACACATCCAAGATCTCCCCAACCCCCCCCCAAAACACCGCAAAAGCCAGGGGCGGAGCCTGGGCCCCACCACCCTGTCGGTTAGCCGTTTGGCCACCGGACCACCGCTTCGCCAAGCGCCGCTTCGCCCAGGCGATGGACCTGAACCGACGCTTCGCCGTGGGCGTGCACCGGATCCTGCGCCTGGCGGAGCGCGCCAAGGGCGCGGCCTCGGTGCTCACCAGCAACGAGCCCCTCGGAGCGGCGCAAGGACGCTACGAACGGCGCTCCTGGCCGTACGGAGCAAGGACGCTACTAGTAGCAAGAAGCTTGCTAGGGGCTCCTGGCATCACTAATTACTAGGGGCTCCTGGCCGTACTACTAGGAACCATGTGTACTGCTCGGAACGAGCCCCTCGGAGCTCTCGTGAGACACCGGGCGACGGCGGCACCGGACAGCGGGCGATGGATGTGGTGGGAGGGGACGCTTGGGGGCAGGTGGGGGGGGAAGGCGATGGTGGTGAAAAACAACGACAACGACGACAAGAACAAGAACAACAACAAGAACAACTTACTCAAGTGCAAGGTACCCCATAAAGTATCCAGGCGATGTGTAAGAACTGTTAACAGTCATAATATATATATTATAATATATATAGAGACAAGCATGTGACAAAAACAACACATGCGTTCTATTTGTGTGCTGCTTTTTTCTGAGTCCTGGACGCGTTCTTTCGGGTGATCGGGTGGATTGGAGTGAGGGCAGACATGCTAAGCTCATTTCCGTGAGGCTGTCACATTGCCTCCGCAAGGAGAGGCACCATCTTTTCAGGTTCCAAGTCGAGGGTTTTCTTGCAGAAAAGGCCAGAGGGGAAGTCAGAAGTTCTTCAGAGTCCTCCAAAAGTCGCCTCAATGACTCGATCCTCCAATTCTCTACCCGGTACGCGCCGCTGGTGGTCGACAGATCGATCCCCATGACGAACGTCCCGGTCGCGTGGCGTGGGGGTTAGCTTGTACAAGCATCATGTCCGTCCCAGTGGCTGTGCCCGTCCCAGCCTCCTATACCCAGGAAAAGTTGATAACCTGCCTTTAACATCCTCCAGCAGTTCCATTTCAGGGTGCCTATTAAGACAAGGGTGCCCAGAACATCCACTCACTTAAAGACAAAAACTCATTCCGACTCATTCCTTTGGAACTGCTGGCTTGAAAAACATCTTCGGGGGTCTTGGTGTTCTTCCGCACGAAACAACATCTCCGTCGCGCATGAAAAACCATGCCTAACCTCAGTTGAGGTTGGAGCAGGATCAGGACAGTGAAAACCAGGAGCCCCTCAAAGAAGCTGAGCTCCAAGAGTTCGAGGCACCGAACCGTGGGAACCATACGACCGGCTACCGGGAAGGCCGTTTTCGGCGCGAGGTTTGAGGCGTGAGGCGTCAGGTCAAAGGGTGTTCTGAGTGGTGTTCCGGCACCGATGTTTGATTGCAATTGTAGCGCCTGCTGAAACCTTGGGAGTCAGCAATGAGATCTCTCTCTCTCTATCTCTCTCTTTGTGTCGACATGCTGAAACCTGGGGTCGTGGGGTCACGGCAAAGCTTCACTCATGACAGAGCTGGAAAAAAAGGAAGAACGAGCTGCAAGTTCTGTGAGAGCAAAGTCTTTGAGAAGTACAAGATCATTGGTAGTTTCAGGGGTGAATGTAGGTAAATATCATTGATTTTATGTACATATAGATGGTTTGGGATGGGAACTTCAGCATTTACATGGCCATTTGCACTCCTGCAAAGTATCACCAGCGAAGTAGCACTTCATTCCACCTCCGACCTCCTTTTTTCTCGAAGATCCACCGCGTGACGCGTCGCGTGGATCGAGTCGCGCTGCGCGACAGGAGCTGCGCGCAGAGCTGGAAGTGTCGCGTGGCAGAGCGATTGATCCACCACTCGTGGATGGAGGTTGCGTGTGTCCCAGTAAACCTGCAGAGCCGTCGGGTTTCACAAGAACATGACGATTTTACAGGAGGGCCTGCAACCGAAACATCATCATCCACTGGGCCCTGGATAGAGCCAAACAGATGGCACATGATGGCACAAGGGCCCCCAAGTTGGGTGCTTTAGTAGTGGATCCCCATCTGAAACAACATGTATAGGGTGCCAGTGCCATCGAACCTCCGAAAACCACCAGGCAGCTTGGACTGTTGCAGGTTCGTACACCCGAAACTCTGGCCGAAGACACAGCTCCTCGAGTTGCAGGGCGGACTTGTCAAGGCCTTTCTGAATCTCTGATGGCAGATGAAAGTCCACCTGCCTTTTTGTCCAGTTCAGTGTTTGGTGGGAAGACCCATATTAGACCCATGAGCCTCCAAGTGACACTCAGGTACATGCAGACACTCAAGAGATTAGGCATTCGAGATCATCAGGCTGGCATTTGGGGAGGGCGGGTGAGCGTCAAGGGGGTTCTTGCTGGGACTATTTCTATTGGAAAGAACCAATAGCAAACCTCGAAGGAATGAAGGACACAATGATATATTCTATATATACCGCCCTCTCAGTGGAGCATATGTATATTATCACTTATTATCATAATACCCTAGAAGTCCAAAGACCCAGTAAAACCTGGTCCTTTACCTCCTTGAGTAGTGTTTTGGTATGACCAACTTCAGTCAAATGAGGTCATTGACTTGTAGGGATATATTAATTAAGTTATATATATATCATATACATATATCGCCCTCTCAGTGGAGCAAGGGTTCCCCGAGAAACGTTCAAATTGTTTTCGCCGATCAAGCTCCATGCCTGAGTTCTCAGTCGCATCTCACTCAGATTGCTTCGGCTGGCATGTTGATGCCAGCCGGCTTCGAGGATATCCGTGAAGGTGAACCAGTGTGAACCTTTCCGCCCTCCAAAGCCGTCTCACAACATCTCGCTCCTCTCCCAGTGTGGTCTAGGATGGTTGGCGCATCCGATGTATTCCTGGAACATCCCCGACCCTTTTGGTAGATTGGCACAAGGTTAGCTGGGGGATGATTGCCCAGGCAAACTGGGGGGGGGGCCAGTCAGAGACCATTCAAAGAATTGACCTGGTTTTGCAGTCCAAAACCCTTAGTAAGACCATTGTTGTGCGGGACGACCCAATTGAATCAATGGCTGTGGGTTCCCTCCCATGTCGCGTGTTCCAGACAAAGCTCCACCTCTAGGTGCCACAACTTGTGTGGTGGACCATGGGAGACTTGATGGGCCGCTTCATGTATCTTCTGGTGCCTTCCTCAGGATGTGTGGATTGAATTTTGCACGCTGTGAATCTGTGCAACCATCAAATGCCATGGCTTGCTCCAATCTGCGAATGCAAAGGGGCAGGCCAACGAAATCATCTCGAGCAAAGAGGTTTCGATGTTTCGATCGTGTTCAGCTTTTCCTATTACGCTCTGACTCACATTCCGTGGAAGTGGATGGCATGACTCCTTGGAAGACTACTTTCCTTTACAAACAGGAGGTGATCTCCACTTCCATGTGAGGTGTTCGTCGTTTCGTGCGCCATGTGTTTCCAATCATCTTTGTTTGCCCACCTTGGGCCTGTCTGTCGCCCACGAATCCGTTTCTTCGGATTCTACTCCCTACAGGTCTGCTTGATCTCATTGTACTAGACCTTTTCATACAAAAAGCACTTGGGGAGGTCAAAGACCAGGTTTTACTGGGTCAGACTGGACTTGTAGGGACTTCATATTGTTCTACACAGACTTGACACAGTAGTGATGCGATCCATTTGACGGTCAGCCACTACCACTCTCAACCACTCTCAGACGACGGATGGTCACCGTTTCTGGATGCTTTCTAACCATCGTTTCAGATAT